GCGAGAGCGACAACAGTAAAGATAAGCACAAGGAAAACTGCTCTCTAAATAGACAAGAGCACGCCACTTGAGTTCAGGCCTCCCGTCACTGAATCATATCAGCTGTTACCTCTGTTCCCCTCTTGACCGTGACGGTTGTTGTTCGAAATTTCGGATAACGTTTTGAGGATTTCTTCCTGGGAAGCCCCAGAACGGATGACAGATACCATGCGAGAAACAGTTGCCTGGTCGCCGTGACGAACCAATCCCAGAAGCTGCTCAAGGAAGTTTGTATAATATTCCTTGTCCTCGACGCGTCCGTCCTGGGACTGAGATTGTGCGATGGCAGCTTCGAGCTCAAGCTGCTGGCGACGGTGAGCGCTGGGATCTTGCCTAATATCAGTCAACTTTTAGCAACCCCATAAAGCGTGGCTCAAGTAGGTATGACATTTATGAATAGGAACGGATATTGGATGATTGAAAGAGCTGAGCCTCCCACCTTTGCTCTCCATTTTCTCGTGTTCCCTTGTTTTGATGCTCCATGCCGTTGAGTTTTCTCTTATAAACAACCCTCTTTTATCTGTCGTGTACAACGCTCTGGCTCTGTTGTATGTGTGCCACGGCGTTTGGCAGTCTCTCAATGTGAAGAGGTCTAAACAAGAATAGGTTGAATGGCTTTGCGACAACGTTCAGGGGCCTACAAGGATTCCCAGGACTCGGATGTTTGTCGAGGTGTCAAAGTATTAATGTTTGCGAGAAGGCGATCACCCCTCTTCTCTCGTGGACCACTGAGTCAGTCTGTGACAGGTTCAGCTGAGCCAAGCGCTGAGTTAAGACTGAATGATTGGTGTTCGCCAACGCAATCGAACCATTGACAGAGATCAAGAGTGAAGACTAGTCCTCCCTCTCTCCACTGTGGTCAGACAGACTGTAGAAACCCGATAAGGCGTAAATGGCGCCGGGTGAGCTTAGAATGACAGGAAGGAAAAAGGTATATCTTAGCCAGTATCCATGGTGAGGGCAAGCAGCCAAAAGTTACCCCCGCGGAAAGGTCTGGAACATTACCAAAGCTTTTGGAGGCTGGGGTTTCCTTGACTCGCCGTGAACCAAAAGTACGCTATTGCGCGAATGTATGATATGGATTATTGGATATGGGTCCCTTCTTCCTCCATGGAGAGTCCAGAAAGGAACAAGAACACTTTGCTCTGTGCAAGCCCATATTTCATAATCCAATCTCTCCCTGATTATGCCACCTGAAGCTGTGAAGTGATTATCTCACGTAGATCTAGATGTGATTGAAGCTTTCACCAGATCCTGTCAACAGAAATACCTCGCTGCGAGAATGTACTTCCTCTTCAGCTAGTCCATGCCTATACCGCTCGGCAATCCCTACCAGCCAATCTTATGGTCCGGTCAGTCTCCGCTACCCATCAATTTAGGCCAGCCAGCAAGACAGCAAGTCACAAATTGGATTGCTTGCTCTCCTTCATCATCTGGTCCTTTTCAGTTATTTTGGAGATGTAAGTCAGTCTCCAGCTGTGTGCACAATCATCACCTGCTGCCATCAGGGCTAGGCTGGGAGAGCTTAACCGACCCTGTCACCACAGCAGATTGCCGCTAAGAAAGGAGACGACAGGGAGAGATGGACTTTTTGTGCGAATGTTGCCACCTACAGTCTCGTGGGAATGTTCAGAGCTCAGGTCAAGCGACATCCTCCGAAAACAACTGCCGGAAATACCCCTGTTTGCTCGAAGCCGCGTCGATCTTGCCTTTCGATCGCCCGGTCGCTCATGTTCGTGTCCCGAGACAGTCTGTTGCTATGCTCTTCGGGTGCACAAAGATACCGCTCAACATCAGTGCTCAGGCTCTTGCAAGCTGATAGACCGGAATATACCTTGCTGCGGTGAAATGCTGCTAGCTCAGACCACAACACTGCGTGTCTCTGGATTGTTTATATTGCAAGCATGGATGGCGCAGAGAAAGGGAAGGCACGATAGCAGTCTAAACGCGTCCCTTGCCTCTTTTCCTTCACACTGGATGAAGGTTACCTAAGTGATCGCCATCACAACGTGGGCCACGCCTCAGTTGGGATAATATTCGGTGACCGTCGTGAGCCATGATCAGGAGGAGACACATTCATTGAATGACATATCAGATCAATTATACAACCGGACATGTCCGGTGGATGTTGCTTCAGGGGAGCATTTGACCGCGTAAAGATATACAAAGTGGCCGGAGGGTGGTAATTCGGAACTGCCGTTGGAGACCAGCTCAAGCATACAGCCATGTCATTTTCATCTCTGCAATTTCCGCTATTTCTCTTCAATCCATGCGGGAAGCCTCGCGGGCGTGCCACATCTTTCGTTCTGTGTCGATCGATACGAGAGATAATATTATCTCTCGGACGCTTCACGGTCTTTCATGGTATCAAAGACCATCAAAACAGCCTGCAGGGACAAGATAAATGAAATTCAAGGAAGGGGCTGTTCATGGAGGACGAGATCTTTCATGTCTCGGAAGTCCTAGCTTTGCATGCCAGCGGTGTAGTCACCTCAGGGGCGTACCGATGCATCAATGATAATCTTCATGCACAATGCAGGATTGAATACAACGCAACTCTGAGGCCAAGCTTCGAAATTTGACAGCGATATGCGTTTTGCAAAGCCATGAAAAGAACGCGTGGTCCGGATGGTGCTGCTACGAGAATGTCAAGTCTCGACTACTGCGTTTGATCCTTTCTGCCCTTCCGCTTCCGCAAATGGGTATGACAACGTCGATAGTTGAATTCACGGTCGAGGAGCGAGATCGGTCGCTTGGTTGCCAAGTGCATGTTGCATTGAAAGGTCAAAGCATGCCTTCGTTGACCTGAGGTTGACTCCGCATATCTTGTGAACAAAACGTATCATGAGATGACGCATCGTATCGTATGACTCGAGGTTGGAACGACGTCTGAGGACTTGTGGCTACTGAACATATTGGTGGCTGCAGTTGACTGACTCATCGACTGCTAGCTCCCGGATTCGACAATACTTCGCTTCGTGTCTGCTTCATGGACCCGGGATAGGCCTTTAGGGAGGGGATTATAAAATCCATCCTGGCATCAGATCGGCTCTCGTCTCACTTTAGTTCATTCAGGTCGATTTTCTCGCTTCTGAATTTCCCAGACAGACTCAAGACGGCTTCGGAAGGTGATTTAGGACAGCTCTATTGTTCTCTATGACCAATACGGCTCATTTTGGGGAGAGAATGAAGCGGGGAATCAGTATTTTCCATCAGAGAAAAATATGCGGGCCAGTTCTCGTGTTTTCCGACGGGTATCAGAAGCCTGCTAGAAGCGAAAGAGGAAGAAAAGGGGAGAAAAGTCCAGGACAAGAGCCAATTGGCGCCAGCCGGACCCTTATAGGCGATGGAAAATACCTAGATCCTGAGGCCATGCTGCGGCTCCACTTGACGCCTGGTCGCCAGAGTGAACCAAAAACTCATCCAACAGGCAGTCTTCATGATGCAGCAGTTTCTGGCTAGGACTACTGTTCCAGGGGGCAGGAATGATGCAGTCGTTGGGAATTTGCAACGAAGTTCGTCGCTGATAGGAGGTGCGGCTCGTGCGAAGCCATTGCTGTAAGCGAGTTAGCGGATCGAACCCTTGCGCAGAGACTTGGGCAAGGCAAGAATGGTGCTGCACTCGATATTCTGCGCGAATCAAACTCACGGTACTCAGGACGGCTTGGGGAGGGGGGAAAAATAGCTCGGATGTCCTAGGCCGTCTGGATCTTGACGTAGTTACCTCGTACATCTGCCACTGCCTACGAATACAATATGTGCTGCTGCTGCGTGGCTTCTTTCTTGATGAAACTGGTCCGCTGAGAATGAGCATTACTTAACGGACGACAAACCCATTACTGACCGCTTAGAGCTCGTTCTTTGGCCCGTAAAAGTGAGCTGCTCGTTCATGTCCTTGATTAACCAACAAGCTGAGGATAGCCCTCTTCCAAGGACTCTCGTGAGGATTTGCTTTGACTTTCCGCAATTGGATGAATCTAGGGGCAGAGCTACGGGCCAGTTCATTGGATATTCCTAGATCCAAGTGGGTTGAGGCTGTGAGGACCTTTGATCCAATTGCTTGTCCGGATGTTTTTTCCGGAAGCCCCAATTCGTCATGTGCAGTATTGCGAATCATTATGGGCACGCGACATCTCGACTAACCACCATATGTTGCTGAATCAGGTCTTTTGAGATATTTTCATCAACACGAAGTAATTGTCACTTGAATTGTTGAGGGGTCAGGATCAACTATGGGTTATGCCGCTCTATAAATATGCGAATCTGGATACATAAAGTGGCGGTCCCGATATAGATATATATTTCAGATCACCATCCATGTAGCGTCGTCTACCGCGTCCATCACAGTATAAGATTGTTTACCTTGTTAATATGAGCATATCGATTTGGACGAAAAGCAAGAGTATGACACATGGCACATGGTTGGAGATCATTGTATGCATTGCTAATTGTTTTCAGTCAAAGACAATAATGAAGTATGAACCACCTTGATACTTCGAACTACTGGTCTCTGCTGTAATGTCTCTCCTCAGATCGTACCTTGCTGACCTTACTGGAGGGAATCGCCTTCATTCGAACGCGCTCAAGCTCTCCTTGATCCCCTAGCAACGTCACATTCCATCGAAAACAACTCCGCCCTTCCCCTTCATGAACCTAGTACATAGCCGCTCATCAGCAAAACAAAACACAAGACATCCAAGCATTCCTAACCCTCGCCATAGGAAACCACAGCCAATGATATCCCCAGACAATGAACCAGGATAACCGTATCAAGATGCTCAGCAATCCTCATCTCAACAAATCCCTTGCTTCCTTTCTGGAGCATGCTGGTATAAGTAGAGAGGTAGCCGCGCGCACACCCATCCGCCTGCGTAACGATATACCATCCTCCTGAATACTGGATTACTGTCCTAGATACCCATCAAAGCATCTCATCCAAACCAAACCAAACCATCACCACAATGCAATTCCACCTTTCCACAATCTGCCTCGCGGCCGCGACCCTCTTCGCCTCGCACATCATCGCTGCTCCCGCTCCCGCGCCAGTCCCAAACCCAAGCACAAAGAGTAGCCCAGTCTTCTACGGTGGACCCAGCGGTCACGACGAAGGAAACTCGGTCTGCTTCAAGGGCTACTTCTACGGCGCTGCATCGTGTCCTGGACGAGTGAGTGCATCTCCATCTCATCTCCCTCTCCCTCTTCCTTTCACTCCCGAATGTCGACGACGTTCTAACGATATATCTAGTACAAGGATGGGACATGCTGCATCTCAGAGGAGATCGAACTCAAAGTACCGGAACCCAAAGCGCCCGGATACACGGGTGACGGCGACGCTGAGTGATCTCGACATTGTCGGTCTTCGTGATTGTTGATATTGGATTCTTTCTTTTCTTTTTTTCTCTCTTCCTGGACATAGCTTCATTCTCTACTTTGATGACTTATTTGATTCGTGGTACCCAAGGCCATGAAATACGGTGCCGGTTGCCTTTTCGAGCGGCTTGCCCAGTATAGTTAGATAATATCCTGCTTGTAAGTGGAATCACTGCTTGGAGGTTCACATACTATAGGATTGCCGAGTATGACTTTAGCTGGCCACCTAGATCAATCACGTACCTGTGTAGCATTGCAACTGATACTCAGGCTGTTAAGTCAAGTCTCATGGAGGTGCTGGTTCTGTAATAGACAGTACTACGTAGGACCTGACACTGGGCGTCTGCACCTGATACCTTAGGCATCAAGATGCACTGGACATATTTACTTCCCTGCGTGCCAGAGTTGACTGGGTCAAACCAGTTGAACAGAGATTTCTTGTAATCTATGCAGTGGGCTATATATGGTTGAAACCTGTGACAGTCATAAATAGGTAGCTTCTATCTATATTGCTTTTCGGTTGAAGGGGACATATATATATTGCGGCTGACCGCGAATGTCATTGTTTACATTCCAGGCTTGAGGTACACAGCAGCTTAACTTATGCACAGTTGTGGGGAAATCCGAATCATTCAAGGAGCGTGTCATTGCTTATTCTATCTAACCTGTTCATGCCCATGCTCTTAAGCCCTGGTATTAAAATATATTCAGTTTTCGCTGATCAATCAAAGAACGAAAGCCCCAAAATAACCAGATCGCCATGTCCACTAGCCATCACATCGTATCGCTCTCAGCTTTGGATCTATATTTTTCCTTGTCTTCCACTTGCTCGTAGGCAATGGTAGAAGTACCACAACAGAATTAAAGAAATGCGGCCCCTTGGACAGCACCGAAAGCAAGGGCTGCAACTTTCCAGTCAAACTTTTAGAGACCACTCACGAAGTCTCCTGCTTCAACATGATAGGCAAATCAAGAGCACTCGGAGCCTTGGTCACAGTTTCGGTAGGAGTCTTCCCTGCCAAACTCTCATTCCAGAGGGAGCTGCTGGCAGGAAAGATCGAGCCAGTGTCGGACATGTCCACAGCGTTGGCATGCACAGAAGGGGCGTCAACGTGAGGCACCACAAGTTCCACACTCTTCGTGACGCCGGCGCCATTGGAAAAGTAGGGATTGTGGCGAGGAGGCAACGGACGATGAGACGAGTCGGGCATATAACCGATGTAGTCTGAGGCCGTGCTGCTGAAAGACGATGCCGTGGTGGATGGAGTATGGGTCAAAGACGGAACAGGAGCCGTTGCGCTCATGAGCATGGATAAACTGGCCGAGCTGCGGTGACCGGCACCGTGGCGACGCCTCGGGAACGACGGTTCGCTGCCGTGGAATTGAGAAAGATAATGCCAGGCCTCCGTCGACGCCAGCGACCCCGTACTGCCATGAGCCGCAGGTATTACCGGCTTCCATTCGGAGGGGTCCTGATCTACCTTGGAATCATGGAAGTCTGTGGGTATCCCGGTGGCCGTGGTGGATTTGGCGGGGACCTTGGTGGGTGTCATCGGGGCAACAATCGTTCGAAAAGAACCCAGAGGAGAGGTGGGCGGGGACCTCGAGTAGGGTGTCGAGCCACTGGAGGGGAAGGACGCGGAAAGCGGCTTGTGCGAGTCTTTACGACGGCAGCTGCAGATAAGTAGTGTGAGCAGATGGTCATTAACCAGAGGAGACTGAGGGCTTATAAGGCCACAATGGGTGCTAAGACAAAGAGAGACATAAGAGATAAGAGAAAAGGAGTATGCATACCTTTCACTGCAATAGAGAAGAGAATTATCCGGCACTGTGATCTGTCTCTCGCACATGGCACTGCCAAGTTGATTAGCTTTGATGTTCAAGGTATGCAAGGATGGGCAGCAATGATAAGGTCGGAATGGACCAATTGGGAGAGATCCAAGCGCAGACGGGTTCCCTCATATCTCTCTATTTCAAGAGAAGATAACGAACGGTCAACAACATACCAGAAATTCAAAAAGCTGGCCGCCATGTCGGGCTGATGGTCGCTCTCGGGCTCCGGAGGCCTGACCTGCCCAGAGCCTAGCTTCGAGATGGAATGATTCACAGAATATGTGCCTTTCCGATGTAGCGCCGGTCGCGAGGTTCTCACTTTCGAGCCATTAGAGGAGGGAGTGCGTCGATGATGAAGATGGGAGTTCGATTGAGTCATGGATGGCGGTGAGGATGTATATACTCGGTCCAATTCTATTTAGATAGAGATAGTCTGCCAATGGTACCTTGCGCCGAGCGGACGCCCTCTTCCCAATGGACTAGAGACCTGGAGCAGGTGTGGAGCACGAGCTTATCCCCTAAGGGAGGGACTAAGTATGAGGGATTTGCGACGAGGATACGCAATTGGATCGATCAATTGTCTCAGACTGTCGTACCCGGTTGTGTTTATTGCTGCAGCCTTGCGGAGAATTTTGTAATGTCCTTTCCCCTTTTCTTTGCGCCTTTTTTTTGTCCCTGTTTTCAGGCAGATGATGTCTGTCAGAGGAATGCTGAGGGAAATACAGGCCTCCGTCCGATAAACAGCTATGTGTAGCGTGATTATCCACGAAATTCCCGGGCCGGTTGAGATAACAACAGCGATAAGCTTTTGCTTGGGACTGCAACGCGTGACTGCAGTGACACATAAATGGTTAGATAGGTCACAGTTCAGTTGCACCAAGCGGCAGTGGGCAGGTAGGTTGGCCGTTATCACAAGCTTCTGAATGGGGGAAGATAAGGGGAGAATGATGTACAGGATGCAGATATGGCTGTCACAAAGGGCAACAGGAGACAAGCATACATACCAGTGAAGACGTTAATGATCTTTTTTGATGCAATCCTTGTTTTCTTCTTGATCCTCGACCTTGAGGTCTGGGATTGGTCAACAAAGCACGTGCAATTGAATGACGAGATCTGCTTGATAGTGGGTGGATAATTGGATATCGGGCAGCTGACGATATACAGAAAACGAAAATCGCTCGGAGATCAACAGCCGGGAATGAGACAGGGATGCTGTAAGCCACGGCAAAAGCAAGGGTCGACGATAACTATGGACGAGTGGATGGATGTGCTTTGATAAGAATAAAGATGAAATTAAGTCGAGTCGATCGGAAGTCAAGATGGACGAAACGAAGGTGATTATGTATGCTGAAGGATTGAGAGTACCCTGTAGATAGCCCGTCCGTAGACCCAGAAAAGGTGGTATCTGAGGACGAAGGAGGAGGTATAATTGGAAGCCGGTCTCAGCGCCGAGGGAAATTCTAGAACTTCTGTCCAGCAGTCCCGCTACATGGAGAAAGCATGATGCACGCAACTCGTTAGCCTGTTGGTCCTTTCCAGAACAGATTTCCACAATATGTCTTCAAGATTTCCCCCAGTATCCAATAATAATAACAATTGATGATGGGACCGATGGCTGATGTCTTGTCCTTTGTCAACAGACGAGAGGCGAGTCACGCCATCATCATCAACATTATTATTATCATGGAAACAAGGGTCTAGAACGGATGCAGATGCCTGAGGTATCAATTGTAACGCGCAATCCATGAGTACATTATGAACATTTTCAGGCAACAGGGTAGTAACGAAATAATAATAATAATAATAGATATCATAATACTATAACTAATGGTAATATCTTACCTCACCACTGAAGATGATGATCTAACCGTCTCCGTCGGATGCGGAATGGGGTAGGTTTGGCGGGCAGATGTGATGTGCAAATGCTGCAAGATCCGCAATATCTCGTTCTCTGGTTCTAAGTTGCTAATTTTGGGGATTCGATCCGTAGTCGATCGTAAGACTCAGTTCAGCGAGGGATCTCAATGCTCTTATATTCATCAGACATCCGGATACCCCGCGGCACCGAGCAAGTATCTTCTCTCACTGATAGAGGGGTCAAGATAAGATGAAAACGGCTGATCATTCTTCATTCTATTCCCACCTAGATAATCTAGGCTAGATCACCGATAAAGCCATGACCCTTGAACCTATCTATTCCTTTTTCGCCCTTCCGGTCGTCTGGCAATTTTCTGTTAACCGACAGAGCCACGATTATCGGGACTGGGAATCAAGATAACAATCCAATCCAATCATGCCCCTCACCTTGATGACATGGGAGTCAATGAGACTGCCAGGTCAACGCCAGATCAGCCCAGTCCTGGCGTACTCACTGGCACAGACACTCTGGCAGTGTTCGGGCGTCCATAATCGGCGACACGGTTGTTGACGGTTGACTGCAAAGGGCGAACTCCCGCTCCCCACCTGGAGCGGTCGAGGGGTCTAGACAACTCCTTCCGGATGAGGTTGTGTCCATAGATTGAGAGCACGTTGTAGCCTGGTAGAAAAAATCGTATTGCTTTACGTACGTGCATAAAGATGGACCATATCCCGATTTTCTTTTCTGGCAGCCATTTTGATGGATCGGCGGTTGTGACATCCAATCATTCATGCCATATAGCATCAATCAATGGAAGTGTGGCCGATGTCTGAGCTGATGATCGCGGCCTCAGTACCCGGGAGACACACTGTATCTTATGTCTCGAAATTTATGAGTGATCTTGATGGAATTACCAGACCCTCTAGTGAGCGGTCTGGGGCAAATTTCTGTCCTATTGGTCGCTTGAGAGGAATACAAAGAGATCACTTGTATTAAATGGATAACGGAATAGGCTTAGGTATGGGCGGGATCGACAATACCCCTCTAATCTCTGATAACATCAGAAACCCGTATGTCGAGGAGCAGAGGCCTGAAGAATACTGTGGGCCACACCGACAACAATAATACCAATCATGGAAAATAGACAAAGAGTACCTTCTAGGCTCTAGGTGCATCATTTATTCCGTCATCCATTACCCCATGGTCGACAAATTTTGCAATCACTCAGTTCGCCATGATTCTATGACACGTCTTGCTGGATACCCATAACAACTCACTCA